CTCTCTTCCAGTAATCGGATCATCATTAAGGGCATTTCTCCAGCAACCGCTGCAGTGCTGGCAGCGTGTTGCTTGTGCTTTTCCCCAAGTTAGTGTCGCCCAGACGAGCGCGTATCGGCTGCCTGCTTGTGCGGCCTGCTAGTGGCACTTATTAAACGGAAAGGGTTTTTGGCCCTTCGCCTGATCAAGGCAGGACCACACAGCTAATGATATGAGTCTAACAATGTGTGTCGTAACTCTCTGCATTTTCTAGTGGTTGCTAATACGGCCATTAGAGCAGAAGTATTCCAGCTTCCGGGGGGATCTTGCACGGATCCCGCACTATAATCAGCGTATTCCCAGTATTTCCAAATATCTTGCTGAGAATAAACTGAGTTTCGCAAAAATGGCAAGAGGTGCAATGGCGAAATTTGAATTTGAGGCTACCAGACCAGGACGCTTAATACTACAGAAAAGATATGCTTGCAACTGCGCACCAACGCTAGCGGCGAAGCGAACAAATTTGCACTCTTTTCCTGGCGTTTGACCGTGAAAATGAGCAATATCAGGCAGATTCAGATAGTTCGAACTAACACTTGGCCTAAGCACCAGTTTAAAGAACACAGTTAAGGCCCCGTTGAAAGTTGTGAGCATGCGTTGGGCACTTGGGGACCTTGCGAAGATACACACCGGATAAAAGACCCTCAGCGCAAGCTGAAGGTACTTGAGCATTCGCGAGCTGAAACTGCATGGAAGGTAAGGTACGAACGCTGCAACGTAGCACAAATTGCTTTGTAGGATTGATATCGCCGTCAAGTGCCAATGGAACACATGAAGTTTACCGCCCATGGGAAGTAATGGGCTGTCTATCTTTCCCTTCGGCACGTCGACAGCGATTCAAGACGAAACAACAAGCCAGCTTAATACTGAGGCCCCGGCGTTCCAAAACGAAATGGATGAGCATCAGCAACCTAGGACAAGGACTCGACTACCTACAGAAACGAGCTGATGGATGCGCCACTGAGAAGTGAGCATCACCAGCAATCAAGGTGCCAGCGCAGCTCCAAAACAACGCATGCATTCTATTATGAGACAATTATCGTGTGTAGTAGCATAAGTCTACAAGCGTACAGGGAAGTCGCAGGAAGCAGGAAGAGGACACACGAACAGAATGCGTCATAAGCAAATCGCGAATACGCCATAACCACCACATCGCAGAAAACCCCAGAAGAAAATGATACAACTATTTCTTAGGACCTTTAGAAAAGCAATGCCCATCTCGAAGTGCGACGTACGAAGTGTCACGAAATATAAGGAAGCAAAAGCTTCGCCCATTTTATAAAAAAGGTATAGAAATGTGGATTGATTTGGTGGTATCTTTCCGAAGACACAGAAACACCGCCGCAGCAACGGGTCAAAGTAACTGCCATCTTATTCGCAGCGACTACAGTTTGCGGCTGGAAAGCCGGCGTAGGAAAGAAGATTACACTTGTAAAGGTCTAAATAGCCACTCATTGGAACGGCTTCGTAGTAAATTCGCCGGCGGGAACCCGCAAATTTGCTACGACGAGAAATTCAGAAGCGGAAATAGAAAGGTAGTCTGGAAAGGCTACAAGTGGAAAGGCTACAAAGGAAGGAGCACCTGCCTATGGCAATATGCCTTCATGCCATAGACTGGGCCACTTGGCATCTTCGCAGAAGTAAAAGTAGTAGAAATTTCCTATTCACAATGCCTCGCAATTCCATAAAGCTCTGAACACTATCAGGCGAGTACGGCAAACGGGAGAGAGTGCATTCAGGGCGCAGTCAGAGCTACTGGTGTCTCGGTGGAAAACTCCGCACCACTCGCCAGGACCTTAATTTGAGGGATTCTGGAGCAGTAGTAGCATGAAACCGTCCACAGACGAAAAGCACACTTCCAAATAAAGAACGATTACTCAGCAGATATAGCGGATGGAGAGCGAATTTGAGACAAAATTTGAGCAATAAAGTGCTCAACAACAATCCGGAGCACCGGCTACTTACAATGCAGTTGCACAGGACATCATACTGAAGAATGAGAAAACACTGCAGAAGTAATCCACACAGCATCCAAAATTTGGACACTACAGCCACGAGAAAGATCAACCACAGCGATACACAGGGTAGCCTTTTATATCCCCTGCACAAGTACGCGAAGCGTTCGCGAAGACGATCCTCGAAGCATGCCTTGCGAAGCTTGTCAGCGTTCTCACGGCGCAGAAGGACACTGCAGGGGCACTCGGCAACAGGATGCCACATGCATCCGTGTTAAGATACGTAACCCTACATTTTGGCATGTGCATCAATTTGTGGGTTTCCTGGGCGCTGCAAACTGGGGCGACCCGGAATGATACGAGACTTGATGGTGGCGGCGAGCAACTGCATTAGTGTTCTGTGAGCTATATTATTCAGTATATTTCCAGACAACACAGTTCACACCAAATACACGCGCCCGCCCAATAGTCACTGTGTTCTCTCCCAAATCATCTTTGTGAAAAGAGAGAGCTCATGTTGTATCTGTCTGGTAACATACGGCATTTCACACCACTTGAGCATCTGTATGCACCAGTACGTCGCCAAAGCAGTTGCGGAAGTCAGTTCCATCGCACGGCAACTCTAGCAATGGCAAGCAGATGCGTTCATCGGAGGACTGCCAGCGACAAACCAGGGGATGAGGACATAAAAATGCATTGGGAAGTTGCAATAAAAGGCAGGTGAGGAAGAAATGTCAGGAAAACAAAAACGGCGAGCGTAGAATGCTGCAATGGTAAGACGAGTGAGAGGTGAAGTTTGCAGCAAACTCATAGGCTGCGTCTACTTGCCCTTTCCCCAGGAACCCATGGATTAGGGTCGACGGATGTGAGCGCACCGAAGTTTGAGGCACGGCCACAAATGAGGGGGGCCCAACTTGCGTCGCTGGTGTTGCATATATGGAGTAAGAGATGGAAGAGCTTTCTTAGCCAACAGCTGACGAGGACCGAGACAAGTCCAGTTGGCCTCAATGAAGAGAGGGTGGAAGCAAACTTGAGTTAGATGACGAAACTTCCTCAGTTGAAATTCTGTATAGCACGTATAGATACCACTTGTATGTCTCTGAAATCATACGCTGAAGCTGAGCTGGAATGCAAGCGAAGCCTATACATGCAATACTATTGCTGGAGCAATACTAGCCGGCAAGGCATTGTTATGAGCACTGCAGCGAGGCTCACGCCAAGATCTTCGAACTTATTGCATCAAAGATTGTAAGTGACAATACAACTACGTAAACAAAGCAAAGAAGAAGCGAACAAGCACCATAAAGCAGCAGCCTTTTCTCCGAACGAAAGCGAGAACCAAAGAGGATACAAGTAGATTCGCTGCATACCAGTCGTACCCAAAATCCCATCATGAGAATTGTACCGAAGAACGACACCTCAGACTAGAGGCATAGTACGGAAATTTTTTTGGAAGCAGTGGGCGAAAATTCCACGAATGCAGTCGGGTCTTGGTGCATCCTGGCGGATGTTGAAGTTGTTGCGTAAGTTTAGAAGTACATTGAAAGAAACTCCACGAGGTGTACACCTGAAACAACTCTGATTCTGAAATTTTGAACCGCCGAACGATTGCCAGCAGAGGAGGAGGCGCCAGTACTGCAGAGAATGCCACGGGGAAGACACAATGCTAAAATATCACTAGAGGGCACTTGAAATGCAGAACAGACAATCTTAGAAGTTGAAACTTAAAGTTGAGGCACTAGAAGTTTTTGAAGGAGCCCCGTTCATGAGTACGCCGCAGTAGAACTTGTGGACCTGAACATAACCAATACTGTGCAAAAGGATATTCAAAGATAAAATCGTCAAACAGGGCTTCCATTTTAAAAAAAAATCGCTTCATGAGGTGAAAAGTATAATTCCAGTACAACGATCAGCGACCAAGAGGACTAAAAACTTTGTATGGAACGGAATCAACAGCGAGGGAAGCATATCTCATTCAGGGCGTAATCCCCAATCGGTGTAGTTTAATTCATTACACCGAGTAAACACAGAGTTGGAAGTTAAAAATTTGTCCCTGGAGTTCCAGGACTTGCAGCTTGCGTTCTAATGAAGACGCGAACGGCAATGGGGCTGCGCAAACCAGTCGGGTTTCACCAGAGGTGCTGCAATTGTCTCTGGCAAAAAACGACGCAGGCGAAACAGGCGGCATGGTATCATACCGCTGTGTTAACATGCGGGAAAACACGAAACGCCTCAAAATGTAAGCTAGACCTTCAGCGATGAATAGATGTCGCACTTCCTTTAAATAGGTCACTCCCTCGAAACACACTGTCGGGAGCAGCCGCATCGGCCATGTGGACAGATCGCGGTGAACAGTTCTATATTTCTGTTATATAGGCGTCTTTCTTCTACATTTTACCCCATTGATGCACTTTTTTCAAGTTTCACTGAGCATCGCAGTAGTACTGTAGTGCGCGGGCCAAGCATTCCACGGGAGAGCGAGAACACCATCGACTGCAGCTGTATGTTGTGCCGTGCTTGCGCGAACAGTTAAATAGCAGGTGCTGATCTAAGCGAATTTGACGCTCAGCAAAGCGAAACATATCACTGTCTTGCAAGAGGATCGAGGGCTACGTGTCTTTGTAGCAGCGAAGCTGCTCTGTCCGTGTTTGCAGAGTGCAACGGAAGTATATTTATTGCCGCAGTGAGAAGGAAGAAATCCATCACTCAATAACCCGGAAAACAATTGAAGTATCAACTTGTACTGAGTGTTCTCGCTTACCAAATGCAGAAATGCACGCTCCCTTCCTTGCTCAAAGAAGTAATCCAGCAGGGGGGAATGCTAACCGTCAGGCCGTAATCCATTCCTTACTATATACTTCAAGTGGCACGCCGGACTGTTTCAGCTCTTTGGAACCACAGTATACTGACCAGCTGTGGAGTAACCGTGGTCTCGGAGTACGACCAAAGCAACCACGCCGCAGCCTATCCTTAACCGTGATTCTGGCATCGGTTGCTTCTCTTGTGATGGTTCTGGCTTGGCTAGGCTCATGTTATGTGCGCCGAAACAGAGCCATAGGCGTTGGGCTTGCTCGACGCAATCTTTCGGGGCTCAGGAATGAAAACAACCTTTCTGATATTCTGGAGGAGTGCGTGTCACTTGAAGAGGAACTTGGCATTTCTCATGATGCGCCTAAGCTGGAGGAGGAGCCCGCAGCTACGAAAGCTAGGTACTTCTCAATGCTATATGAATCTGCAGAAGCATTCGAACGGACTCCAGAGCAAAGTTCACGGACGTCGCAGCAGGTCCCCACGCGGTTTCCAGAAAGCTGCTCTTCACAAAAAGCAGGTGAAGTTCAAAGCGAAAACTCACAATCGCTGAGGCCACATGGACACTGGGGAGCTCGAGAGGAAGCATCAGAACATTTCTCGAGTATTTCAGGTAGAGGAACGGCACCTTCGTTACATCCTGCTGGGCAACCTAACGCGCATGGCGTCCCTGGAGAGCGGTTGCCGCCTGGCTTTGGCCCTTTTTATCAGACAACGCCGCAGCAGTTGGTGCCTGCTGAAACACGTTACATGCTCTTTACAAAGGATGCATGCGGCGCGTACCTTAATGCTTCAGCTCCTGACGCCAGGTCGGGCATGAACCCACAGCTGCCATTTCAGCGTGTGCAAGGATATCACGAGAAAGTCACATCAACGGTTGAAAATATGCCATCGAGAACATCGATATTTCCATCGGCTCCGCCCACATTCTACAAAGCAGGGGAGGCAGCTGCTTCCTCATTCTCGCGTGGCGGTGCTCCAAACGCTGGTAATGAATCGAGGTGCCCTGGAGCCGTGCTAGAGGGAGCCTTTTTGCCGCGTGGCTCACGGGAACCTCAGGAACAGGCACGACAGGAAACGGCACTGGAAGGCTTGTCAGGTTATTCAGCCTACAAAGGTTACGATTTTTCCGATTTATTTCCCCATAAGCAAGTTGGCTCTTCTGTTTCAGGCCCACATGGCAGTGCATATGCAAACACCACTTTGCAAGGCATCGTACCTTTTAAACGGCGGCTTGGAACCGCTATGGAAGGCCTAACACATTATTCTGCCGACCCAGGCCACAATACTTCCAAGTTTGTTCATGATCAAGTAGCTGTCCCGTTACCCTCGCAATTCGAAAGCGGCGGTGAAAGTGCTGCTTCACGGGACCTTCTAGGTGCAGATCTGTGGGCTGAGGAACTTATCGGTGGCATTTATCCAACAGGCAGCCAACGAATTCCGCAGGCTGAGGGCAATGTGGCCACGGGACTGCAAGACGCAACCAATCCCGTAACTGCTGCTGCACCCACGTTCAAACTTGGCGCGAGGACACTTCTGACTGGAGGTTCAATCTCTGACACGAGTGACGTCAGCAGGACTTCGAGCGGAAGCGCAAGTACGCCGCCCTTGAAAAACAATTTTCCGCCTCAGTCTCAAGAACAACGCATGTACGAAGTGGCATCTCTGGGAGGACGTGCTGCTGACCTTTCAGTGCCCTTGAATAATTCAGCTTTTGCTCCAGCCGTGGAGAGGACAGTTGCAGATGCTGGGAGCCACGCGGCATGGGACATAAGTTTGCATCCGTATGTGCGTTTGCCAGTCGCACAGCTGCAAGACGCACGTGGTGGATTTCGCAGGAAATTTTCCTTGACAAAACATCCGATTGAGCGTAGCCCGTTACCAATCTACGAGGCGATGCGCACATTATTTGCCAAGTCTGTCTTAACTCCTAAAGAGTCAGAGTTTCTCCTTATACAGGCCGAGCGTTTGGTCTGCTACGCAAAGGCCAAGCTAGCCACGATCACGAGACTAAGGTCACCCTATTTCATCGTTAGGAAACTAGCGTCATTATTTGTGGCATTTGATTATCTGGTGTCCACAATTGAGGTCCTAGGAGACCAAATGGACGTTGGGAGCTGGTGGGAACCGTTCGCACAGAGCTTTGTTACAGATTTTGCCTTTCCTGCTTCGAGCATGCGTACCCAGAAAGCACGGGAAAGAATTAGATTGGCTAATCGCCTGAGCGCCGCATTATCGATTTACAAAAAGGGGATACGCCCGCCACTTGAAGAGATTGTTGACTTGAAGCGTATACTTTTCAGGAAAGTACGGGAATATACCCAGTTCAGGCATCCTCTGTGGCTTCTTTGGATACATGATGACACATACCCAGCTTGGTTAGGCAACGATGCAAAAGATCGAACCAATAATGGGGGCGGCGGCTGACTGGTTCCGCGAAGCAGCACGACGCTCAATTCGCCATCTCTTCGGCTGAAAACCAATCGTGCTTTTCACAGCGGAGCCCCGATCGCCTAGCTGCAAACTTTGCTAAACAGCAGCTCAATGCTTTTCTTTTGCTGCGTCTTCTGTAGTCTGCAGCGGCCACTATGCATGTTGCAGGCGCAGCGGACATGCTAGTCCAGGCGCGCACGCCAACAGTGATTTTTTCCTTAGTGCAACGCGGTCGCACGCCGAATCCTCTCCCCATTAAAGTCGCTATACGCTCGTTTTCGATGCGGCACGGGCTCGGTTGAGCTTAAGGAAAAGGCAGGGAAGCTTTGGGAGAGCATGCGATAGCGGGGATGCCTTTGT